GGCTTGTTTCATATCAGTCCCAACCGGACCCTATACCTCTCCTACCTGTGCCTGGTTATTAAAATAACAGTTTTTGGAAGGGCGAGGGCTCCAGGAAAGGCCCTAGGGTAAGGCACCCCTCAAGCGCAATCAGCGCCCAGTGCCCCCACGCCTTTCCAGGATGATTCCTTGGATGAGGAAAAAGATATGCCTCACTCCTTCTCCATCTTGAAAGAGTGGCAGGCAGAGGTCTCAGACTCCGACGAAGGTGATTGGGGTTCCAACACCTACGTCAGGGAGACCTTTATGGGTGAGCCCCAGAGTAAGGAGGATGCAGAGATGACGGAAGCGTCCGCTGCTCAGGACCAGGAGGTTTTTCTGGATACTACAGGTCAGAGGATGTTCGACCCCAGGAACATTAGACATTCCCGCTCCTGGGAGTGGGCTCCACCAGAACATCTCCTTAAGTTTATGCACTTTTGTTTAAGCGGATGAGGGCTGAATGCCCCAGGCCATCGCTATCGTATAAGGTGGCTTTTACGTCTGAGTTTGACCAGCTCATGCTGGCATTTATGGCACGTGGAGGTCATGACCCTGGCAAAGGGGTCAAAAGGAGCTTCAGCGGACCACAAGATAAGCTCCTGGATGCGATGAGGTCACTGGCCCGTGTAATGTACCTGGCGGATGACGCATATGCCCAGGCAGACTCTTTCACTGCAGATATGGGTGCACAACATTAGAGAATGGACCCCAAAAGGGTTTTGTTTTATGGGCAATACCAATGCGGCCCTCTCAACTGAGTGACGCCGTGCAGACTTCAGTCTGCAACTCACACCCAACGGAGCTGCAGACTGAAGGCTGGCTCTCTGGGCAGACAGGAGGGGCCTCGCACCCGGTGGCAAAAAGGGCAAGCCGCTGGGCCCCCTCCTGATGTCGGGTTCTCAGTCAAGGACCGAGGACCCAACAGATCAGTCTGCTCTAAGGTGATTTAGAAGGCCGCGAGGCCCCAGCCAGCGCGAGGCCTTAGATGGCCGCCTAAATCGCCTAATTAAAGGGCCGCCTCTGAGTGGAGGCAAGGAGCAGCACTCAGCAGATCCAGGTAAGAAGCCACACTATTACAAAATACTCCTTGACACTGGGAAGGGTATTCAGGACACTCCTGGTTCCATAACTACTATAGCGAGCTGTGGTGATTAGATTATGGTGCATGTAGTTAAATTTTAAAATTATTGGAAGAGACCACTCTATGAGATGGTTTAATATTGGTCAGTTAAACTACAGTCAGAAAAAGTCTTCTGAGAATAGAAATTAAACGGCTGGCTGACAGGTTTAGTCCATGATATTTCACTTCAGGAAGAATTAAATTTTTCTTCTGACAATGAAATTTTACTGCAAATCCAGGTTACTTGATGACAATTTCTGCCTTTTTTCTTTTAAATTGTATAATAGGAATATGCAGTACATTAACAGTATAGTAAATTATACAGTCTTATTTCAGAAGCCATAAATTACAAAATATATAGAAAAAAAAATACAGATACTGCCTATATTGACACAACAGTAAAGAGAAAATGTACATGCATGTGCATCTTTGCATTTACATACATACACAAAGGGCTGCATTAAATTGATCTGTAAAAGGAATCTGATAAAACTAGCATTTTTTTTATCTTAACCCCTTAAGGACACGTGACATGTCATGATTCCCTTTTATTCCAGAAGTTTGGTCCTTAAGGGGTTAAAGGGATACTGTCATGCCTTAGATTAAATTTCATGTCAAAAAATGCAAAGTTATGCACTTCGGGGTAAAGACTGCACAAGCAATTTACACCCCAAATGGTAGTGAATTAGGGATAACACATGATAATGATTTGGGAATTGTTATAGACAGCAAATTAGGCAACAATATGCAATGTCAATTGACAGTTGCTAAAGCCAGTAAGGTATTGTCACGTTTAAATAGGGGCATTCATTCTCAGGACGAGAATATAATTTTGCCTTTTTATAAATCATTGGTAAGACCACATCTTGAATATGCTGTGCAAATTTTGGGCACCTGTTCTAAATAAGAATGTTATGGCACTAGAAAAAGTGCAGAGACGAGCTATAAAATTGAATTGATAAAGAGAATTAAGCATTTTAGTTATGAAGAAAGGTTAACAAATTTAAGTCTCTTTAGTTTGGTAAAACAGTGCCTCACAGGTGATATAATGGCATTATAGATATAGATATATATATATATATATATATATTCGGGTCAATACAAATCATTGTCTGGAAATCTGTTAATAAACAGGACTATATTTAGGACACAAGGTCACGTATTTAGAGTGGAATTAAGAAGATTTAGTCTAAGACTAAGGAAAGTAAAGTAAAGGGATTTTAACAATAAGAACAATAAGGATGTGGAATTCTCTGCCTGAACAGGTGGTCGATACACATGTTTAAAAAGCAATTGGAAAAATACTTGCAAAAACATAATATACACGGATATAATTTTTAATTAGTGGTGTAATAGCTTCTTGATTGAATGAGATATCTGGCTGCCATGCTGGGGTCAAGAAGACATTTTCTTAGTTTGTTGCAAAATTGGATGCTCTTCAGACTTTTTTTTTTCCCCTTCTTTTGCATCAACAGCAAAACAGATGTGAGAAAGGCTGAACTTGATGGACGCATGTCCCTTTTCAACTACTTAACTATGTAGCGTGCCCTTCGCTCTTCCACCACAATCTCCTTACTGAGGTAGATGTTACACTTCTGTAATACCCACCTCTGGTCCACATGCATTCCCCTTTAGTTCTTCTTTGACTTGCAGTGTCCCCAAGCAGGGCAAACATCATCAGTGACGCGGACGTGCTGGCTGACATCACTCCATTCCTATACTCCCTAGCCAGCAATAGCAACGTTGGTAAGTGAGTTGAAATAGCAACCAAAGTACATGCGCTTTGGTTGCTGTGGATGGATAGCATCTGCTTTCCCTGTCTCTCAATATCTTGGCATTGAGTGTTTGCAGAGGAATTGAGAGTCAGATGTGATATTTTAAAATCTCCAAATCTATATGTTTGTAGGAACAGTGTATAGATTGAATTTAAAGCTCTTTTAAAGTGCTACAGTTATGGCAAAAGACAATTTCCCTTTCATTTTTAGGGCCTTAGCAGTATCGAAGGGGCCATTACTTTAATGACTTAGTTGTAAGACATCCAGCAAGTTGAAGTCTGTGGTTATATGAACGTTAACATCACCAATGTACATGGTTGTCACTAAGGAGTCAAATGTTTTGTTATGAAAGAATGATTCCATTATTGGCCCTTAAAACTGGGTTGTCAGACTCAAGCCCACAGATCTTGTTGTATTATGAATGCAGTACATTATAGGAGTTGTACACTAAAACAAAATGGGGGCAGGATTTTGACAGACCTGCCTTTAAAATGTTTTTCAATGCTCCTAACACCATTAATATTAAAGCATGATCATAAAAAAGTTTAACACATGAAACAAAAAACAAACTAATATCAGGTAACCCCATTTCTTCCTCATCAGCCCCATATAGGAAAAAAAACAAACCACTTTTTCCTTAGAAGAAGACATCCTAAGTGTCAAAACGCTGTTGTGCTATCTGTTGGCCCAAATAAACAAACACACAGAAGTGCACTTAAATTCTCTCTTTTTATTTTATGAGTTTAAGAGTTTATAACATTTCTATTGGATTTAGCACAATCAAGTTTAACTACGCATTTCCCATTTTGTTGTGAGTGTTGCTTTTGGGAAATCTTGGTCAGTGAACTTGATCTTCAGACATGACAGATAGGACTGCATGAACAAGAGGAAAAGCTAATGAAGTAAGTCGGATTCAGAACCTTTAAAAAATGCATGTTTGTGCTCTTCCACTTTTTGATTAAAACTTGTCCCAGGTGTACACTGGCTGTGTTCGGCAGGAAGGTTCTACAAATATAACATTCAAGTATGATCACTTTAATAAAATATTGTCTGTAAATTATTTTATTTTATTCCATTTGGAGTATCAGAGAAAAGATTTTGTTACTTATCTACAATTGCTCTATAACTATTCTGGCTTGCAATGTCTAAAATGTTTATATTTTGCAAACAAGAAAAGAATGAGGTTTTTTTTTTTTCTTGTTGTCAAATAAAAAGGGGGAGAGGGTACAGAAAGGAAAAAAGGAGGGGGTGGGAGGGGTACTGAATAGAGTTGAGCGACCCCAGACTAACGTTTATTGGACCCCGGACCCGAACACGGACATATCACTGTATGTTCGGGTTGGAGTTCGGTGTTCGGCCATTTAAACATAGAATGTGACGGCAGATAAGAACCATTCGGCCCATCTAGTCTGCCCAATTTTCTAAATACTTTCATTAGTCCCTGACCTTATCTTATAGTTAGGATCAGGGAGGGAGCAGGGTGCAAAAGCGGAGCGGCCGTCCTCTAGCACTTGTCGGCATGTATTATCTTTAGAATTCCCACAGTTATCCAAGTAACAGTTGAAGCGATAAAAAAGTTGAAGCGATAAAAAGAACCATAACAGATTTAACGAGCCATTCACAGTTTTGCAGTCCGGTGACCGGGACCCAGACACTGTCTGGGTGTCTGTCAGACGACCGGGACCCAGTATGCCTGATTTAGAAGTTAGGAGTCACAGTGTGCAATGGATTAGCAGGGTCTGGTGCAGGGTAACCGCATGCCCCCTGGTGTTGAGCACCAGCGTTTGTGTGGCCACATACTAAGACCCTGATGCAGCTTCAGTGAAAAGAGTACTGGATACCAGAAGCCATCACCAGACTGATCCGCAACTTGGAACAGGATGTGACATTCACTGTAGCGACTGTGCACACTTTCTGTGTTCTCACCCTGCTGCTGCTCGCCTGTCTGCGCTGCAGCATAACTTTGGCCTTCCCGCTCACTGCCTCATATGCGACGTGCCCACAAGGTGGAACTCCACCTTGCACATGCTGGAGAGACTGTTTGAGCAGCAGCAGGCAATAGTGAAGTTTCAGCTGCAGCATGCACGGGTCACTGGCTCTGCACCAGACTTCCCTCCAATTGATCAGAGTTATAGGATTTCAAGTGGACTCATTACAATTACAGGGCCTCTAAAGAGCCCTGTATTGTTATTTGTCGTCACTACCTTCCCGCGTCGGGAGTGGGTCATTTGCGGGCCGTCTGTGCGTCATATGTCCCTCATCCTCACCGCATCTCCAGCATGAATGTTGAACATTTGAGAATATCCTATGGAGTCTGCTAGGTGTCAGATATCATCTATATATCTATATATAATAGTTTTCTTTGCGCCTCAATATGTGAGTAGCATTGAGTGATGTCTTTCAAGGCATTAATAGAGGAAATCCATTCTGTTTCGGTCAGGGTAACATTAGTTTTTTTGGCCCATTGGGTCATAAGTAGGTGGATTACGTGGGATTCCTCGCATGATGGCTCTTGTGCAGGTTGAGAATGATTTGTGTTTAGTGGGCGTTTTATGGCATCTTTCATAAATTATATTAACATTAGTAAAAAGGGGGATGGACATTTCAGCCCTGGTGTATACATGTGTTGGGATAATGCTAATGTTAAATTGTAGATATGGGAACAGAAAAGAGTTCGGTAAGTTGTGTTCTTTTTGTAAGTCTGCCTTGTTTTTCTTTGGTTTTTACTATATATATTGGGGCAGATGGGTACTGTAGTCGTTGCTGCCGCCCAGGAGTGATGGGAGTGAGTGCAGGACTTATCTTTCTGTATTTGTATTCACTTTTTGTATCACACAGCTTTGTAACAATGCTGCCACCCATCAAATGTGTTCCCTATTAAGGGTTAATAACTATATAGGGGTGTATATAAAAAATACCCCTCTCTGTCTCATTAGAGATATCTTTTCCAGAAGCTCAAGGAAGCGAGGTTAAGAGTCAGTGTAGGACCCGCTTAGGGGGGTCTGGCTTGACGTTGGCAGGTGGGCATTCCCTTCAATGGCCATTGGAGTAACTAAATGACTTCCATTTGTTTAAATATACATAGGGATTAACCCATTGAACCCATTGAAACGTTTGGCAAGGGGTATGTAACCTCACTGCTGCTTCCAGATGGGTAGCTTTATAGTAAGCATATATGTTAGGTAGGCTTATCCCTCCTTTGCAAGAGATGCGCAGGGAGCCTCGGTCTACAGGAGTCCCATATGAAAGCTGAGAAAAGCGTTTGTATTTGTTTGCAGAATGATAGGGGTGCACATATTGGTAACATGTGGAAGACATAAAGGATCTTCGGGAGTATGACCATTTTAATTGTGTTCATTTTCCCTAGCCACGATATTTTTACTGATTTCCATTAAAGGAATTTTTCTTTACACATTGTGATCAGTGGTTTAAAATGATAATTAAACGTCAGCCTTCTGAGCCACTTTTATTCCCAGATATGTGATGTGTTTAGTTCTCCAGTCAAATGTATGGGATTGTTGAAGGGTATGTACTGTTTGTGTAGGGAGGCATATTGGTAGTGCCTGTGTCTTGTTCTGATTTAATTTACAGTGAGTGACTGTACCGTATGTTTCCAGAAGGGATTGGAGTGCTAGTAGGGGTGTTTCCACTTTGCTCAACGTTAATAAAATATCGTCAGTGAATAAGGACAGCCGATATTCTTTATCAATGGTAATCCCCCTAATTTCCATTTGGGATCTGATTTTATGCGCTAAAGGTTCCAGTGATAATATAAACAAAAGTGGGGATAGAGGGCACTCCTGTCTGGTACGTTTGTGATGTTGAACGGTGTGGAGACAAACCCTATGTTAGAAACCTAGGCTTTTGGGTCATTGTAAAGGGCCATAGTGTCTGCAATACAGGATAGGGGAAAGTCAAAAGACAACAACACCTGTTCCATGTATTTCCAACTTAACCTGTCGAAGGCCTTCTCCGCATCTACTGCTAGGAGAAGACCTTTGCTTTGCCCAAATTTATGTGAGATAATATATTCATTATTTTCCTGGTGTTATCGAAGCCTTGTCTACTTTTCGCAAATCCTGACTGGTTGTGGTGTGTAATTCTTCTATGAAGGGTTCAGGAATTAGTGGAATTCATGACTCTATGAGCACTATCGTAGATGTTGTTTGGAGAGTATTGGGTGGGTGGGGGAGGTAGGGCCCAAGGCCAACAAGGATAGGGGAAAAACTTATGTACATAGAACCATCTAAGACAGCGCTATAGCGCTTTGATTGTGGGGACATGGCTCCTGGGAGCCTGTGGGGGGTGGAAAACCTCTGGGTGTGTGACCCAGTTTTTATGCATATCAATTTAAGGCAGTGAACTGTTCATGTTGACGGCCCTTGGTCCCATGTCATCTGAGCTCATGTGTGCCTAGTGCCAGAGGACCGAGGCCCCCACAATGCATGCATCACGAACAGAAAGAATAAACATATACATTTAAACAGTATAAAAGTAAAAGTAAAATGATTCCACAACTATGGGAACCTCTGTGGGTAGTATTATACCTGTTGGTTAGTACAACCTATCATTGGGGCCAATTGCGGTGCGGCCCCGGTCCGTTCGGTTTCTGCTTGCAACTATCAAGTGCAATAGATAAGTTGCATTAATGGACGTTGGCCCTGCAGCATCTGCGCCTAAATGCACATAGTGCCAAAGGGTCAAGGCTCCCCATGTGTTTAAATAATAAAATTAAGTAACATTAATTGCGAGAAATTATAGAACAAAACAGAAAACTAAATCCACAGCACTGGGGATCGCTGCTGGTGAAATTTTTTGCCATGAGTTGGCTGATAGTGTGAGTGGAGCGTTAGTCACTTAGCTCTAGCCACAGTGTTCCAGTCATTAGAAATCTTGGTAGGGGAAGTCGGTATGCCCTTCTGGTGTTCAAGATTTTCTGGGAAGGTTACAGGAATCTTCCATTCCGTAAGAAGGCAACAACCTTCTTCTAGGCTGGTAATGTGGCTGTCAACTCTATTGCAACTTGTCATCAGACGGGTTGGAAATCCCCAGCGGTATAAGATGTTAGCCTCTCTCAAGGCCTTCATGATGGATGCAAAGCCTTTGTGTTTCAGCAGTGTTGCCACTGAGAGGTCTGTGAACAATTTCACTCCCGCAAAGCGGTCAGGTAGAGAGGGATGAAGCCTTGCTGCTTGCATGATCTTCCCTTTGGTAGTTTAATAGTGCAATTTCGTGATGACATCCCTAGAGGTCGAGGGTGGTAAGTGTTTCGGCTTTCGCAGCCTGTGAATTCAATCCATTAGTACAAACTGCTCAGCAATCTTTGGCACCAAGGCCTGGAAGAGGTCTTTCACATATGCCTGTAAGGCGTGCAGCAGCACCACTTCTGGGATGCCGTGGATGCATATGTTACTATGCCGGTCTCTATCCTCATGATCGGCTGTTTTGTCTGTGAGGCGTTCTACTTTGGAGCTCAGCTCTACATAGGTGTCTGCCATTGTATTGTGTGCTGAGATGAGTTCCTCTGTCTTATCTTTTAAATGAGAGGTTCTGTCCACTAGCGCTTGTATATCAGCTCTGATATCTCAGGCTACTTTAGATATCTCTGTTTATAGTGAAGCCCTTAGTTCCTGGAGCATTTTGTGCACTGACAAATCAGTGGTAGGTGCAGAGGTTGGCATCGATATTGAGGTGTTATTGCTCTGATCATGAGGCGGGCGATCGCAGTGATCCAGCACTATCTTGACTTTGCGTGCGTGGCAAGGTCAGGGCTGAAACTTAGAGCGCTGGCTGTTTATTCTTCAATTTTTTTTGTCGATTTGGATGCCGTACCTGTTCAGTATATTGGGAGTATGTGGGTCAGTAGTTTTATTGCTGTAATTGCGCTTCTAATTGCTAAGTTGGGTCTGTTTTCCTAAGAGCTAGAAACTCACACATCCATCTCGGTGAGTCTCCTGACCACAACCCCCCAGTCAATCTCTTTTTATTAAACTTGTTTTTGTTCTCATATTAGTGCATGGTTGGATACAGAAATAAAGAGTTGGGTTTGCACATAACTTATATACATGCGTTACCATTTGTCAGAATATTAGTATGTATCACAGTAGTGACAACCTAACATTGATATTTAATCATTAGGGTATGTATTATATGAGGAGGGCAGCCATATAGTGCCTATGGGCAGTAGTGTATCCCGTTCGGGACGATATTGTCTGGCTGTCTTCTAAATGTACCCCTAACCAAGGTGGTGGCGGGGGGTTGTGTGTGTGGGTTGCGATATGGGTGTGGTATCACACCTTAGTGCAGGGGTAGGCCTTCAGCACTCCAGATGTGATGGACTACATCTATGACGCTGGCAAAGCATCATGGGAGGTGTAGTCCAAAACATCTGCAGTGCCGAAGGTTGCCTATCCCTGCCTTAATGTATGGGCAGTGCCCTGTTATCTGATAGCCGGAACACATTTTTGTTTATTTTTTATTTAAACAGTTCTTAATCTTTGCTCTTGTCCAGAGCATTTTACAATTTATGCACATATAACAATGTAAATATAATATATAATATACATATATTGTACCACTGAGACATAGGGGAGCTTGTGGTATACATCCCAGGTGGTTGATGATTGCTAGCTATGCTGCCCAGTCATTAAATCAATAGAGGAGGGGGGGACCTGCCACAACTCCCATGTGCCCAGATAGTGGGGTACCTAATTAAATAATAGAGTGTGGGGACAGATATATGAGGTAAGAGGACCATGCTTTAACAAGCTTACAGTCTAGGAGACTATACACATGACAGCTAATAAACAAATGTAACCACTTTTCACTAAGACAATTGTAAATGCTGATTCTTGGTTCACTTTCTTGTGTTCTTGACATACTCTCTAATAATATTTTGAAGCCTATTTGCTCTAAACACAAGTTTAATTTCATTCAGTTGTAGGTAACTACATATGGAATAGTCTAGAAAGATTCACTACTGTCACAGTCAGGGCAGTTTTACAGAATAGATGAAGTGAATTGTGGAACTAAATTTCAATGCTTATCTACCCACCTGTCCATTTAAAGGGACACTATAGTCACCAGAACAACTACAGCTTAATGTAGTTGTTCTGGTGAGTATAACTATTGTATGCAGGCGTTTTCATGAAAACACTGCCTTTTCAGAGAAAAGGCAGTGTTTACATTGCCCCTTGGGAAACCTCCAAGTGGCCACTCCTCAGATGGCCATTGAAGGGGCTTCCTGGCTCAGTGTTGCACAGTAGGCAGCAGTGCCATTCAGCATCTCCACGCTCTGCATG